ATATTAAATCAAACTGGCCCCAATAGCGACCCCTGGGGAACACCACTTGTGACCAGCCACCAACTGGCTTTAACTCCATTCACCACAACTCTTAGCGCCCAGCCATCCAACCAGCTTTTCACCAAGTGAAGAGTACACCCGTCCAAGCCATGAGCAGACAGTTTCTCCAGGGGAATGCTGTGGAAAACAGTGTCAAAGGCTTTACTAAAGTCTGGGCAGACAACACCCACGGCCTTTCCCTCAACCACTAAGCAGGTCACCTTGTCACAGAAGGAGATTGGGTTAGTCAAGCAGGACCTGTCTTTCATAAACCTTGTGCTGACTGGGCCTGATCACCTGGTTGTTCTGTACACACTGCATGATGGCATTTAAAATGACTGATCCATAACCTCCTCCAGTACCAAGGTCAGACTGACAGGCCTGTAGTTCCCTAGATCCTCCTCCTGGCCCTTCTTGTAGATGGGCACCACATTTCCTAACTTCCACTCAACTGGGACCTCCTTGGTTAACCAGGACTGATGGTAAATGGTGGTGGCTTTGAAGGTGGCTCGGTGAGCACTTTCACCAGCTCCCTCAGTCCCCTTGGGTAGATCCCATCCAGCCCCACAGACTTGTGCGCATTTAAGTGGCACAGCAGGTCACCAATCATTTCCCCTTCGATTACGGGGGCTGCATTCTGCTCACTGTCCCTGTCTTCCAGCTCAGGGGGCTGGGTAACCCAAGAGCAACTGGTCTTACCACTAAAGACTGGACACACTCTAGCACCTCAGTGTCCTTCTTGCAATCAGGGGCCCAAAACTGCACACAGTATTTGAGGTGTGGCCTCACCAGTGCCGAGTATAGGGGCACAATCACCTCCCTACTGCTGCTGGCCACAAAGGCGGCGTGAAGTACCTCAGCTTTTTCCTCATCCCCTCTCATTATGTTTCCCCCCACATCCAATAAGGAATGGAGATTCTCCTTAGCCCTCCTTTTGTTGTGAATGTATTTAGAGAAACATTTTTTACTGTCCTCTAGAGCAGTAGCCAGATTAAGGTCTAGTTGGGCTTTGGCCCTCTTAATTTTCTCTCCCTGCATAGCCTCATGACATCCTTGTAGGCCTCCTGAATTGCCTGTCTCATTATGTTTCCCCCCACATCCAATAAGGAATGGAGATTCTCCTTAGCCCTCCTTTTGTTGTGAATGTATTTAGAGAAACATTTTTTACTGTCCTCTAGAGCAGTAGCCAGATTAAGGTCTAGTTGGGCTTTGGCCCTCTTAATTTTCTCTCCCTGCATAGCCTCATGACATCCTTGTAGGCCTCCTGAATTGCCTGTCCCTTCTTCCAAAGGTCATAAACTCTCCTTTTCTCTTTTTTTCTCCCGAGTTCCAGCCAAAGCTGTCTCTTCAGCCAGGTGGGTCTTCTTCCCTGCCAGCTTTTTTGGCACATGGTGACAGCCTGTTCCTGCACCTTTAAGATTTCCTTCTTGAAGCGTGTCCAGCCTTCCTGGACTCCTTTGCCCTTCAGCACTGCCTCCCAAGGGAATCTGCCAACCAGTCTCCTAAACAGGCTGAAGTCTGCCCTTCAGAAGTCCAATGCAGCAGTTCTGCTGACCCCCCTCCTTACTTCTCCGAGAATCAGAAACTCTATCATTTCACGATGGCTGTGCCCAAAATGGCCTCCAACCATCACATCACCCACACGTCCTTCTCTGTTCACAACCAACAGCTCCAGCGGGGCACCCTCCCTAGTTGGCTCCCTCACCAGCTGTGTCAGGAAGTTATCTCCCACACACTCCAGGAAACCTCCTCGACTGTTTCCTCTCTGCTGTGTTGTATTTCCAGCAGACATCTGGTAAGTTGACATCCCCAACAGGAGCAAGGGCTAGTAATTGTGAGACTTCTCCCAGCTGCTTATAGCATATTTCATCTGCCTCCTCATCCTGGTCAGGTGGTCTATAACAGACCCCCACCATCACATCTGCCTTGTTGGCCTTCGCCCTCATTCTTACCCATAAACACTCAACCACGTCGTCACCATCATTAAGTTCCAGACAAACAAAACACTCCCTAACATACAGGGCTACCCCACCGCCTCTCCTTATTTGCCTGTCCCTTCTGAAGAGTTTATAGCCATCCATTGCAGCCATCCAGTTGTGCAAGTCATCCCACCATGTTTCCATGATGGCAACTATGTCAGTTTTCCTGCTGCACAGTGGCTTCCAGCTCCTCCCGTTTGTTGCCCATGCTGCATGCATTGGTGTAGATACACTTCAGCTGGGCGACTGATCCCACCACCTTTTTGGGAAGAGAAGCCTTAGTTCCTACATGAACACTCTCTGGCACTTCTGTGGTTTCTAACATATCAATAACCTTCTGGCTTTGCCGCCGCACGGATCTCCATCTACTGCCTCCACCAAGGTGGCAGACCGAAGGACCTCACCAACACACCATTCCTCAAACATTGGCATGCTGCCCCCAGGCTTATCTCCAGTAAGCTTGGCTTTGTCCCATTCCCCCTTTAAATCTAGTTTAAAACGCTGTCAATGAGTCAACTCCTGCAGAGAGATACTTTTAAACCTTTGAGACAGGTGTACCCCATCTATTGCCACCAGGCCTGGTGTCATGTAAACCCATCCATGATCAAAAAACCCAAAATTCCACTGGTGACACCAGGCTTGTAACCAGGTGTTGACCTGCTGGCTCTTCCTGTTTCTTCCCTCAACTTCCCCTGCAACTGGAAGGGTAGAGGAGAATACCACTTGTGCTCCTGATCCCTTAACCAGTCGTCCCAAGGCCCTGAAAGTCTCTCTTGTTTGCCCTGGAACTTCTTGTTGCAACTTCATCACCGCCTACCTGAAAAATCAGTACTGGGTGGTAATCTGAGGGCCATACAAGGGTAGGAAGCTTTCTCTTCACATCTTTAACCTGGACCCCAGGGAGGCAGCAGAATTCCCTAAGAAGGGGGTCCGATCTGCATATTGGGCCTTCTGCTCCCTTCAGGAGGGAGTCTCCTATGACAATGACTTGTCTCTTTTTTCATTATGGAAGCAGTTTTGACACAGGGTGTAGGCCGACTTAACCTTGGCGACACCTTCAAGCTAGAAGAACCCTCATCCTCATTACTGTTTGGTTCCACTTGCAAAGCCTCACACCTACTACGCAAGGGCACCTGGGAAGGTGAGGTAGTTAGAGACATGCATGCTGTGCCAGGCAGGAACTTGTCACCATTGCCCCCTATCCCTTGAGTCACGACTTTCAGCCAGGCAGAGAGAGAACAGGGAATCTCCCTGTGTCATGCATCGTGCCTGCCTGTTGGCAGGGACAGTAGGGTGTGATTCCAGTAGTCTATCTCTCTCTTTCACACTCCCTGACACTCCTCAATCTACTCGCCTCCTCCCGGAGCTCTGTCACTAAGCGGAGGAGGTCCTCTCCCTGGGCGCACCTCCCACGTGTTCCCACCACAGCTCTGTCTGGGCAGCTGCACCGGTCATAAGTGCAGAGCTTAGAGAGGCCATGGCTTTCTGCTGGGTGGGTACTATCGCTCCCTGGTTGAGCTGGCAGAGCCTCAGCACCCATCCTGTGTGCCCTTCCACACGAACTGCTACACAAACTGCCATCCCAGGCCCTGGCTGATGCCCCACACCCTGTTTGCCCACCCTGGTCACAGTGCGAAACTCCAGAGAGTTCTCCCTAACCTGATGTGTAAATTATGCACAGGGACAGACCCATGGGGCAAGGCCCATCAGCAAGTCACGTGGACACAGGGAGACAGTCACCTTTCCGACTGCATTTTGCTATAGAGAGATGGGGGCAAGGGAGGGAAGGATGCAGAAGGTGTATTTAATCACTTCTATAAACATTTCTGCTTTTCATTTGGCTCCTGTAAAATGTCAGTAAAGTACTATTTATTTTAGTAAGGTTTGATGGAGATTTCAAGGGAAATGGCTAAACAGCAGTTCCTTTTCCAAGGTAGAATAAAACTAAAAGTGAAAGTATTGAGGTGCTTATGGAATATGCTGATGCCCAGATCATCTTCCAGGGTGTCCACAGAGAAGTGCATCCCAGACAAACAGTACTGGCCAATTTGAAAGCTTGAGGAATGAGTTCCTGGGGAGGCCTCAGAAAATCTTGGAGTAAAATTTCTAATCGGTCAGGTCCTGTGAACAATGGAATGACAAAGAACAATCCTACACCAGCTTTGCTTGTTCACCAAGCTCAGAATAACCAAGAGTTGTCATGTAGCGGGAACCTTGCTTCTAGATTCCTCAGTGAGTTTGTAATACCACCATACTTGCTTAATCCTCCACTCAAGAGGGTCAAAGGATGCTTTCCTTGCAAGTTCACAAATACAATCCATAACAATCTTGGACAGACCAAGACTTCAGTTACAGTGGACATTGTTTTTTCTTTTTAAACCAGACACTGATGGTATTAAATTTACCTAAGTTGTAGCACCTGTTCCACACAAAACTATGTTTGCCAAACTGGGACAGCATTCCAAGTGAGCATCACTCAGAGATTGAACTCTCCATGTTATAAACTTCTGCAATATAGCCAAACAAGTTTTGCCTCAGCTGTCATTTTCATACACAAAGATAATTCACATTTTTTTCCTGAACTAATAGCTCTTTCTTGTTGGATAATCACATCAAATTCAGGGATAATTTCACATTAAGAACCAACAGCAAAACAGGTAAGTTTCAAGAGATCAAAATTACATTACCTGCAAGTATCCCACATGATTACAAAGAGCCATTAGACATTCAATACAAAATCTGCCCCAACACAGCTACGTTCATAGGCAGCAGCACTATGGAAAATCTGCTGTGCTGTTTGGTGCCATGAAAGCCAGAGAAGAAAAAAAAAAAAGAAGCATTCAAATAATTGAACTAGTGAAAGCATTAAAAAGCATACCCTTGACCGTGACTAATATCATCTGGTCAGCACCAACATTCTTCCAAGAAAGTATATATGATTTTAAAATGGTAACAGCTTAGGAGGCAAACAGGATCCTCCCCTTACCCCTGAGGCATCTGACAGGAGCAGCACATATAAAAGGCTTGAATGACAGCACTTAGCCTGTTTGCTGTCATGGAGATAACATCCTGACAATCAGCACAAGCTTCCTGCTTCCCAGCAACATCATATGTTTTCGACTCGCCAGCATCAGTGGATAGCTCTTTTCTGCCCTCGGTTCCTGCAGTGGCAAAGGAAGGCGTAGGAGTAGCATCCTGGTGATCTGGTCCTTTTTGCTTCAGTAAAATAGAAGTAATGTTGGCAGAGTCCCTTTTGTTTTTCATCAGCTCTGTGGCTATAAGAACGAGCCATTCATCTAGAGAATGCCAGAGCAGTTCCAATGGCTGCAATAAACACATGCAAAAACAGACAAAAAAGGAACGTGTTGACATTAGATAATATTAATAATGTAATAATCCTCTTAAGGCAAATAAATACTGTGCTTATTTAAAAGCTTTAAATGATCCTTTAGAAGTCATGTTAGAGATAAGAGTTAAACACTCATAAAAAAATTCTGTACTTTTAGCCATAGAGCACAAAGACAAAGTTTTGTATAGAAGGAAAATAATCAGGTAGCAGCTGGAATAAAGATAAAATAATTTAGAAAGAGTGAAAGTCTGAACTATTTAACAGAGTTTGCCCTCACAGTTGTTACACAGCACACTACTGCCTGACTGCTGCAATCAAGCACAGAAACAATACATATGTTGAGTTTCCAGAGTAAGAGCATGCCAGTTCTTCAAGGCCATGGTCAAAGAAGCTCCCCCTATCAGGTAGATGGAACAAACCCCAGACACCATCACTGAGATTCAGACTCATGCACATATCTAGTAAGATGTGCTTTATGCATGGTGTGAGCTCATAACATCTCATTTTGATCGTACCCCAGATGTCTCAGGGCAAGAGTCACTAATACCTAGTTTTATGAAACAGAAACAAGTATCAGCAGAATCTCATATTCATTTTTAAAGCTATATATTTTATTTAACAAACTCAGTCTTTATTCACTACCGCCAGCTTAAAAATCAATAAAATTGAAACCTGGTAGAATTCCATCATTACACATTTGCTCTCAGGTGCAGCCCTACTACAGAGGAGAGAAAGGGCTGAGGCACCTGTGGCTTTCTCATGAGCATTTCAAAAAAACACAAGGGCTGACTGCTGTCCTTTAATGGTGTTTAAGGGGACATTTCACAAGCATACAGTCTAGTGAGCACAGGGATACGTATCCTACAGGGAGGCAATTCTAAGTCAAGTCTTTCATAGCATTCCAAAAATAAAAGTGAACTTCCAAATGCACTCCTTTTTCCATATATTACCATTGCATCAACAGTTTCCCCAATTAAAGAATTCAAAGACTTAGCAGATACTGAAAATTATATTCTCATTTTCTAAAGTTGCCTTTAAAAATTAAGAGCTATTCACAGCACACTGTACCAGAAGTCTACGCTATCTGGAGCGCTGTCAGTACACCTCATAGTGACACGCTTGCAATACACAATAAATTACTTCTCATAAAAGCTGTGTATTTAAAAAAAAAAAAATCTGTTGAAATTTACTATGACACTTCCATTTTTTCCCCAGTAAGAATTTTGGGGAAAGCCAGCCTGACCTCTAAGACTGGTAGGCTTTGCTCAACGTACTGTATGACACTCAATCCTTGTTCTTCTAGTGACCACACATTTCTCTAGATGGTGACAGGAATACCCCCAGTGTGGGTACCATTTCTCTACATAAATGTCTGCCATACAGGATCAAGTTAGCTTCTTTCCAAGACTACCTGGCAGACCTTCACCACAAAATGTAACGCAGAAAAACTTTGTAATGAAAAATAGGCTTCACTGAATATATGGAAGAATTAAAATGCAGCTGTGTTCTTAACACACAACTCACAAGGAACTAGGTAGTTATTTACTAGAATACTAAAATGCAGTTTTCTTCTCCCAAACTTTTCAACGCTTAGCTTGCCAGACAGCATTTTTCAGCTAGTATCTTGTGTTTTATCTTTTATTTCCCACAGATTTAGCACACCTTTCAGAACTCTTGCTACTGACTTGTTTTTCCAAAGCTAGTTTTCCACAGATTCTGATCACGAACTCATTCACAAGTGTAGTCAAGCACAGTGACTTTTTTTTTCTAGTCTAACTTCAGGACATAAAACATTCCTTTAAATATTGCCCACCACCTCCACAGCCATGGCTGTCAGCATTTCATGTTAGCATCCACGATCAGACCTTTTCAAGCATAATAGAGACATATTCAGTCAAACCATTAGCATCATTTTTTCAAAACTACGAGTCAGCATTCTTCAATCAATTCTTACCATGAACTGCATTTTAAAGACAAACCTCCACTCAACCTTCAGTTTTCACATCTCACAGTTCAGAAAAGTTTCTTTGGAATTATACATCTGAGTCTGATTGAGTACCAAGCTTTGACAGCTGCACATCTCATCTCTCAAACTCAAGGATTTAGCTATGCAACACCCTCCTCTTTACCCATCTAGAAAGCAAGACACCAGAAATCAAACCCTTATTCAAACTGCAACATTGGAGCAAAATCTTTTGCAAGGTGACAGACAGACAGTCAGTCTTTTAAGGCACAGGGAGCAGGAGATCACTAATCCATGAACTGACTTTGTCACAGCAGAAAAGCCAATTCAATTCTAGAAAAGAATAGTATCTGAAATGAGGGGAAACGTTATGGGCTTCCCAACTTCATTCAACTGGGCAGGGAGATTTTGCAGCAAGTTTCTCTAATGTGATCATACTGAACAGCAACTGGAAGAGCAACACAGGAAAAAGCTTCTCCCCTGGTTTCACTGCTACCACCCTCAATCCTCCTAGATACATGTTTCTAGGTGCATTCTTGACAGAATACAATGCTGAACAACAGATTAGCTTCCTATGTGGTAAAGACAGACAACATCTAGATGTCTTCATTTGCTCAAATAAACGGCATTCAGAGAAGGGGTGGTGACCTGTATCACTCACTTGTGCTCTGGAAAGCACCCAAGACCTTACATGGGACATGAACCAGCAATCCAAGAGACTTGTTTTTCCCCATAAAACCTGTATCAAAATTCAAATTACCTACAACATTTATCGCCACAACGGAATTCCAGTTTAAAGCTACTTTCCTCTAAAATTTTCAATATGGATCTCAAATTTAAAAATCTTTACGTTCCATGTTGACTTTTCTAATACAGATTTAAGTCCTGTTTTGGAGCGGCAACCTCAGTGATGTACTTAATAGTCTGTACTAAACAGTTACTTAGCCTGTATTTAAGAAAACTCAAAACAAAAACCAGAAAAGGAGTTCTTTGTCACTGACCTGCATGTCCCGCATGCAAGTACTAGTACCAATCAAGACACACAATTGTCAGGTCTTTAAGTAGCCTCCATACCATTGTCATAATCTAGAGATATAGTGGGGGTTTTTCCCTCCTCCCAAAAGGCGAAAGGGACTATCACAACCACATTTTCAAGGAAAGGATGAAAAAGGAAAAGGAAAGGGAAGGTAGGAATAAGAGAGAATAGGAAGTCACCCAATTGACTCAGCACTATGTCTAATCTCCCACTACTCAGTTACTGTAAATTCAGGGAAGAACAGACTAATCCAACCACAACCGAAGATTAATTTAGCATTGCCTGACCTGTGTGCCCCATTCCCAAATGAGAATAAAGTTCTCATCAGCAGTTTTGCACTTTTGAGTTTGAAATTTAAATCAACCTTAAAAACATCATGGAGACAACAATGGCCCTAATAAAGGGCTGCCTCAGTTTTAATACTTCTAAAATAAATAAATTAAAATAGCAACAAAAATAATTTTTATATCATCCTGAAATTTGTTTTGTTAGCTAATGTAACAGTAGTATATTTTGCTTATTTATTAAAAATTATGTAAAAACAACATTTATGTTTAAGAATTACTCCTATTTTCTGGGAGAACCATGCCAGTTGTGTAAGGTAAATCTAATGCACAAGACTTAACTCCATACTAAACTGAGAAACAATTCTTTCAGTCTACCAAGTAGTTTGGGCACACAAAGAGGTGATTCTGCTGAAATACAGTTTCCTTCACAAATGCAATTAAATGTTTTCGTTTGTTTTATAGTGAGTTCTGAAATGATCCGGAGTTGAAAAGCATGAAAACTTCTTTTTTTTTTTTTTCCCCTTTTTGGGCTACACAAAATACAAGGAGATGAGGTCAGCTACTCCTAAAACCTTGAAGAAAAAAAGGTAGCAGAATATCTACACAGAAAGGTAACAGTATATCTCACTGTAGATCCTGTATTAAGCATGCTTAACATCTCCTTGATATTTAATCTGGTATATTTAAATCAATTTTCATTAAAACTGTTAGAAAACGCTGTCTTTTATAAAATTATTCTTGTGATTCAGGTAAGGCTTTGTTTTCTGAAAATGGAAATCTGGTTAAACTCACAATGTGCCAATCTAGATCAATATATTTTACTGAACAACTCTAAAGTACAATCATTACATTGCATACCGTACAGTGCATTACATTTTGCACACAGTATTTTTCATACTCAAGCACTTGTTTCATAGTCATTATATAAATAAATTTGTTTTTAAAAATATTTTGCTATCAGAAAAACAAACATTTGTGCTCATTTTTTAAATAGTCTAATCTTTCCTTCTTTCCAAGAGAAGAAATTCAAACAAAAACTGAGGTACTTAACTAAATGTAGCTGAAATTAAAGAGCACCATCTTTCACGACTTTATCAACACAGCTCTGTCTTAAAAGTCATTAGAAGCAACGCGATGAACACATATTAAATCAATGCAGTAATTTCAAAAATATTGTTTTCACAACACTCTAGAAGAAATGCAAAGGTTAACAAAAATTCTCATGTCATTATTGTCATCTAAATTTGGTGATATCTAACTGTGCTATGTAAGACTATGGAGGAAGACAGGGGGAAAGAGATTACCCTTCAGTTCTTATTATTTAGCTGCTCTAAATAGTACATTGGCTATATACCCGATGCAGATTGAGAGGCACACAGGAAACCAGGGCTGCTTTACAGAAAAGCAAGCTATGATTTTCTCAGAGGATTCCTCAACCAAGTATAAAAAAAACCTTCAGAAATTAAACATCTAAATGTCAAGCACCTAAAGCAAGTGCTTGAAAACAGCTATAAATCAATAGCCTTGCAAGAGCAGTAGTAAGCTGGAATGTTTCAAAGCCTGTAATAACAAAATTCAGTAACAACTTGGGAAAAAACTTCATGGTTACATTGAAAACAATGAATAGATTAAGAAATCAATCACTTCCATTTATCTTGTGAAGCTGGATAAAACTGAGTGAACAGAACACCCAATGAATCTCCAAATATCATTCTGAAATTACATTAACACAATCTATTATATTAATATTACCATATGTTGAGATTACTACACTCTTAAATAACATAATAGAAATAAAAACAAAGTTTACCAAAATCAGCTGGGTAACTAAACCGTCAACATCTAACAAACAGTATATTAAATAAGAAATAAACAGAAATTATGAGATGTGCATCAGTGGTTAAATGAATCCAGTGGGGAGAAAAAAAAAATAATTAAGAAGGAAAGAGGTAGGCTTAACTTAAGAAGGGATAGGGACATCAACCAAACTTACTTCCTGTTCATGAGATGTCTGATTAATGAATGCATGCTTTGTGAAATTCATCTCTTTAACGTCTATCTTCCTAACAACATCATATACTTTTCTGACCTTGAACACCTGACTTCTTGGAGTTTTATTTCCATTGTAGCCCATGTCATTTCCATTACTGGGAGAGGATGGGCCAATGCGAAAGACATGACAAAATATCCTCACGATCCTTAAGAGACTCTTCATTTGAGCTTCATAATTACTTGACAAGCTGGGGGAAAAAATGGAATATTTAAGTTTCTTTTCCTAGATGAAACAATTTAGTATATTAAGGAGTAAGCAATCTAACAGTAGGGTCTGACACACATGCTGAAAAAACCCCAACCCTAAGCTTTAAACCCTAGTGAATTTTAACTTTCATTTCCTGCACCAGCCCAAAAAGTCAAATACAAGCACTATAATTTTACTAACACGTACTCATAATTTTAACTAGAAGTGAAATAAGAACAGCAAATTCCAGATCTTGCAAAATACTTCATTTGTTTTTACCCACATGTACACTTCTTATGAACCATTGGTAAGAAATTCAAATTACTATAGTAAGGATCTCAACACATGAAACAAATTGGGATATCCAGACGAAAATGTTCTTCAACCCAGAAAAGACAGCATCCAATGGTAAAAGTGTACTGCCTAATCAGATACGCTGCCCCAGACCACCCTCACCTAGTTACTAGCCTAAATGCCCATTAACTACCTCAGATATGGGATCAGGATGCCACTATTTTACTCAAAAGAAACACCATCTAAAAGATACCACACAAAAGCACCACTATGTTATTTATTTATCCGATTAATATATTTAAAGTTTTATGTCTTCTTAACCGACTGGCCAACACTCAACTCTGTACCAATACAGTGTAGAATAAGAGATGTTCATGAGTTCATGCACAAGCAGAACATTCTCCACCAAATTCAACTTCGTTTTGTTCCCTTAAAACCCCAAGTAGTAAGAACTCTGTCTTGAGCACATAACAAAAACCGCAAGAAATCAGAATTTCTGCTGAACTTTACTCACTTACATTTGTAAGTGAGCACATACTCAATTCCACCCTTAAAGTAGTTGCTTTCTAACTATAAGATCAGCATACATCAGAAAACTGACATCTGAGAGGAGGCTGTAAACCCCTGATGCAATTAATAATCTGTTAATTCATAACTTTGAAACACAGCTAGTTGTAACATCACAGTACCTTTATCATGACCTCACTCTTCCTATAGCATCGGTAAAAGCAAAAGACTATTTGTTTTCAGCACTACATTTTAACGACTGCCAGCAAGGTGTTAATTTTAAAAAGCCACATACTAAGAGTTTAACCAAACTGATATACAAAGTATGACTTTCTTGTCACAATGTAGCCTTTAACCAGAGAAGTCTTCAGTAAACTGAGATAAGAAAGGAACACAGGAAATAAACAGTGCAACAATAGGAATGTTAAGTTTTTAACCAGGTAAAGAAAATCCCCCAACTAGCAGGCTGTAATTATGTTATATTACCAGAAGCTCTGGTCCCAGCCACAAATTAACATTTGTAAAATATCTGCATAAAAGAAATATTTGCCAAAAGAATCTATGAATAAAAGAAGCTAAGTCAAGAAGCTTAGTATTAAAAAAAAAAAAAAATCCAAAACATTTTGATTGAGGTTTATAATCCCCCAGCAACAGTGTTTTCCTGGTGAAATTTCAGTTTAAATCTCCTGGTCTCTAGGAAGAGGATCCACATATATAGGATAACCTTAACATGCTTTTAATAGTTCACTGAAGCTTTTACGAGCATGATTGTGAACATTCAGCTAGGCCCCATCTGCACCAGCAAGACCAAATCATGTCACACTACAATTATTTCTTGGAAAGAAGAAATACATGATGGAGGTACTGCTAACTGAACAGGCCCCTTGCTGGTATTCGAGGCAGAAGCCCTCAGGCAGAAGCCTGGTGGCACTCCTGGCTACCTGCTAGAAGCAAAAAAAAAAACAACTTTAGACACTTTTGAACTAAATAACAAACAACTGTGAACTAAATAAACAGTTTACACACTGTTTATCAGAGGGAGGAGAGAGAGAATAAGAGGCCCAAGCTCAGACGGTCTATATTCACCAAGTACCACCTTCATCCTTGTTACGTTAATAATAAAGCAACTGAGAAATACTTAGGTGAAGTAGAGATTGCAGCCTCTGACCAGGAACAGAATTGGAGAGAACAGACAGTTTTTGTGAAACTGTATCTTGTAACAGGAAAAAAAAAAAAAAAAAAAAAAATTCCATTTCCCTTGTGATATATTACAAAGTACCAAAGAGAAGTGGGCCAGTAAGAGTCCACAGGACACCCTAAGTACAGACTTCTCTGGAAATGCTTGCTCATCCAATGCAATGCAAAGCTTCCAACTTTTCTTCAGCCTTCACTAGTCAACCACATGCAGCAGTACAGGAGTACATACTGGCTCAAATTCAGAGACAGTATAGGCACCTAGATACTGTTTCTACAGCCATACTGAGAGAGCATTGCTTAATACAGAGGAGCAGTAACAGTAATAAATCAAATCTAAACACACAATCAGTTAATTTATCTCTGAAGGTACTGAAATAGAAACAAATACTGCTCATATGATCTAATCCAGCTACCACGACTTCTGACAATGTCCCCATACAAAGCAAGTTTGAAATGCTTTCCTGCAGAATGATTTTACACTTTATCACAGTTTATTTGTGGGAGATCTATTGGCTCTAATGAAGTCTGGAGACAAAAGGAATGTGTTACAAGTTAAGCTGACTACACACTGAAGTCCAACAACAGCTAAAGTTCTTCAAAAAGTTATCTTTGCTGCAACAAAATGTCATTAACACATCGATGCACTTTAAACCCAAACATTTGGGTATAAGACTTTTATGCTCATTCATCAAGATGAGCATCCATCAGAACAAGACTGTGATTAATGGTGTCATGAATTTCCTAGCATTGTCTAGGAGTTCTAACCTGCTGTCTGCAAGCTCCATCCAAATTTAACACGACTGATGGGGAAGAACAAGAAAAAAGCACCTAGAACTAAGAATATATTATCTAGTCTCTATCTAACTGATGGGCTTCTTGTGCCCTGGCCCCAGTTGAAAAAGGCATTCAAAGTCTTACTCCTCTACAACCTATGCTGACAGGTCTCTCCGTTACAGAACACTCTTAAACCTCTTTTCCAAAAAGCCACCCAGAACATGTTAGTAAGGAACTTCCACTCATGCTTTCAGGCTCTTGACCTCTTTCAGTAAATATTTTCTTTGTTTCTAGTAAAGCATAAAGGTCAGAGCAAATTCTGCCAGCTCTTGAAAACAGTAAAATGTTACCAGTGTTCCAACAGATCACAAATGAGGTGTTTTGCATAAACTCCCTCAAACAGATGCCTCAAAAACGAGGAAAGCATACTAGGAAAATATGCTTGCCCATTCTATGAGTTTTCCCAAGTAACCACATCTTGCACTGCTGACACAGCACACCAGCAGATGAAATTTTTGGTCTCATATATATTAGTAGCCATGGAAGGCAATCAAGAGCCAGGAAACACGAGACAAGTGTTTGAAGTAACAAGACTCCTCAAATATACTCAGAAAGCATGCAGAAAAGTAAAGATGTGGAAAAGAAGAAATAAGGAGAGAGGAGAAAAAAACCAACACAACAATGCTTGATAGCTTGCTAAAAAGGTTCCGTTCCTAGAGCTGACATAGGCAAACTAACCCAACTCAAAATACACTTCACTGCAATTCAAGCTTCTAGGTGCCAGCAGCTATACAAGGACACCAACTTTCTCTCCTGAAGTCCTTGTGATCTAAACAGGCACTGTCATACAGAATCAGATTTGAGATCCATCTACTCTAGCATGTGCCCAGCATCAGCTAGTTTAGATTACTGGAGCTACTAAGTGGCTACTACCAGGTAGCTTATCAACCTTCTTATGATCCTCTCACACTTACCTAAGCAGTTTGTGACCATTTGTTGTAGCAACTTCAGCAAGACTTGTTAGGATTTTAAGATACTGGCTTTCGCTCTGCTGAGACAAGTGTTCCAGAACTTGCCGCAACTGATACATTAAAAAAAAAAGAAATTGCATTGTGTCATGGAGCGTCAGATCAATGTTAACTTAGAGCATTATCACCCAAGCATTAATATCTAGCAATATTAATGTACATCTATGTTGTCCAAAGTCTAATCTAACCTCAGTTAACTCTTCATTATGATTTACAAAGAGCACTGAAAAGGTACACTTTCTAGTGTCAATGTACTACAGGATATATAATACTATAGAATGCTTAACCATGTATTATTAATTTATAAGAACAACTTCTTTTCATCTGAAAAACTAGTGGGACACATTTTCAACTTCTGAAAGCTAGGAGCATATTTTGAGTTTCACAATTCATCATTTATCTGTCTCTCCAGTTCACTCCTCTGTTAGTTTACAACACAGTGTAAATGAACCTAGGATCCTAGAGTTTGCTCTCACTACCTTCGTTTTCACTCCAGATACTGAATGTCCTTCCTTGGATAAGAAGTCATGCCCTGCTAATCAATAACTCTTATGATTATCCTCTTCTCAAAATTGTCCTTTTTCTTGCTAATACCACCACTTGGCTCACAAAGACTAGATATTGCAAATGCCCAGACACTGCCCTGTCTTCCAGTCCTTCGTTCTACATTTTTTTCTACCTTAGACTTTTTTTGCAGATAAACTAACTCTTCAGTAGCACTGCTCTTCATGCATTCCTATTGTATCCTCATGTACTCCCTTCTCTCTCACTGTCAGAAAGTTCAGTAACCCTTCTCACCTTCTCCTGTAGAAAGGTGGAATGAATGGAAAGGAATCTCATAAAGGTCAATCTAGTCCAACACTCTGCACCAAGGCAGAAGTACTTGTGATCCAAACTGGCTTGCTCAGTTTGCCTGCCTGTTTTCAGGTGTCTTCTACTCTGGAAGCCCTGCAGCGTCACTAGCTGATCTTTTCCTAATACTTCACTGTCCTTGACTATGCGAAAGTTTTTGTAAGGTTCAGTTGAATCTCTAGCTACAAATGGCTAAGGCAGTATCTTCCTCCCTGCAGCCTGTCAGTACGTTTTCCAGTTTGTCAATAACACTTAAAACGTGAGTCCTGACTCCTAACATACATCCAGTCTCTTCACGTCATCACGTTCAGATAATATGAACTGGTCATTATGCAAGACTTTGAGCAGAACAGCTCAGATTTGGCCATAGAAAACCACACTTACAATACGCCTCCATTTTAGCAACAAAGCATAACTATACCATGATTTATCTAACATATTTTGCACATCCTCTCTGAGTTCTTGGTTTTGCACACACCTCCACCATTACTCAAGGCAGACAATACATTCATTTTTCTTACTTACTGTCTTCACTTCTACAATACACGAAAATATGGTTCGTCATTTACCTTTTTCTAGAAAGTCTTTTGTTCCATGGTTTTAGTTCTTTCTCTTTTATTTCAAATCATCTACGCTATCTCCCCAGGCTTCTAACATACATGTTGAGAATTGTCACCTCTCCACCATTTTCGTTTGTAAAACTCAACCCTGTCTCAGAAATTTAAACACTGTTTCTGTATAGACTTATAAATCCCCAGTCCTGTAGTGGAAGTAATGAGATTATAGAGAACCATATAAACTTCAAAAATCTAGCAAACCAAGTTCATTGAAGTGGAAGCCTGCACCTTACTAAATCTATTCTTTCCTCCTATTTTTTTTTTTTTTTTAAATTCAGAGTCCGTAAAATTCTTTACAGTTATTTTCAAGCAAATATTATATTAAAAACCTACAACTAGCTAGATTTGGAAGTGGAAAAAAAAGCACCCCGTGCTTCCTTTCCCCCACAAGAAAAAAATTCTTTTCCTTGCTTTTTCTTTGCTTTAGACTGCACTACCCCACAATAATAAAAGAAACAAGGTATAGAAGAACCACTGAAAAAGGAACAGAATAGTTTAATCTACAGCAATAATAATAATTGTGGCTACAATCTTTTACACTCTAATTGTACAAGGCAACTTCACACAAATGAGCACTCATACTCCAAATGTTCAAATTAATTCTAGATGATTCAAGCCGAGACACATCCTAGAATGGATAACTGCATACAACCACTAAATGAAGTAAAATAGGCCCCATTACACAACGTAATTGTATATCTAGAATGCTCTGCCAGCACCTTTGTAGTGAAGCTTGCAACAAGTCTGCTCTTTCACTTTTTACACTGTCTAGATCACTTTGCCAAATATGCAAAGTTGGAACACTAAATTAAAATAGATCCTACATTTACTCCCAATTTGTTGTGTTTAAAACTACGTGAAGACTGTACCTTTTCCATGGGGGAAAGAAAAATACATAGTGGTCAACTACTGTGGCCCTGTCCGTCAACTGCTGGTAGTGTCTTCTAATCAGGACACTCATCAAGCAATCTTAGATCTCCACAACACAGACAGGTCAGTAACTATAAAACACATAATACTATATTACCATGTTTTCCCGTAGATCTTCATTCTGCGTCATTTGAATTATTGTCTGGAAAAGTCGAGGATGATATTGTATTAAGACTTCACAAGTCTCTCCATAACCACCCTAAAAAGCAATAATTCAAAAACCATTTTAATTAGAAGAAACACTAGAATTGGGGTTTATCCTACTATAAGCATTAAAACCTACTGAGGATAACAATTTTTATTTTTTTTTTTTTTAATGCTGAATGGAGAAATCCAATCCTAAAATAAACTGAAATTCAATAATGTATCAAAGTTAGATATCACAAAACTTCTGGGAGAAGACAGAATCAAATTCTTTCAGTATATAGGTTTACATACATCCCCTCCCTTTCTTCTGTTTGGCTTTTTTTTTTTTTGAAACACTTTCCTACTTAGAAAGCCAAAGTTACATTTGAACATCAGTTCACCTAATAATTTACCAGAGATTAAAAACAGTGAAATATTTAGCTTCTCTTCCCATTGCTGACGGATGACACATGTCTACCTAATTACATCCAGAATCTAATCCTTCAAAACAAATATTTTCCTAAAGGTTCAGGTCTGACTTGTTAATGGAAGAACTAGGATAAACTCATGAAAGGCTTATTTAACCTTAAAATCAATAAACAAGTACTATTCCACTTGTGTCTTAGATCAACAGCTCAAACTAACTTCACAACCTTTTTAGAAAAATGGTGGTTTTGGGAAGAACAGAACATGAATTTGTGGTTTATGTATATCAACTCTCATTTAACACAGTTGCGTTTTTAAGCAGGCACCTGAATACACATCAAATTCTACACGGGAAAGATGATCGTGCCAATGCACTAAATGCTGCAGCTCCAGAGGCTCCCTCTCTTTGCATGATAGTTTATAATTCGCTTCAGTGACAACAGATTCGTTAAACAGATTCATTTAATTGCTCCTCGTGCCAAGAAATTAAGTATTGAAATTAAAAGCATCAGAATCCGCAAGAATTAATGAAAGTCAGCTCTTTAAAAATCAAGGTAACACCAAATTGGCAAGAAGTATATGAATCTATAATTTCAATCTTCTAAAAACATGTATCTGCTCTGAAGAGCAAACCTGTAAGCAAAGAATAAAACCCTTGATGTAAGAGGGAAGAAAACATATTGTTTTCTCCTTTTTCACTTGGTATCATGAACTTGTAAACTAGACAATCTTGAACACATGATCACTACAAAAGAGCAAACACCAGGTGTCACTACTCACACCTAAAAAAAGTTGACAAAATTTTGATGCATAAAGTGGTGCCCTAGGAATTGTAAAACTGAAGACTGAAGCAGACAAGCAAAACACTAATTGTAGAAACTTAAGACTAGTACCATTAAGACTGGTATACTGTCCTATAGGTCTGTGGCTGCAGAAAGCCTCAAAACTGACCAGATTTCTTCTAACTCTGAGCTTCACAGTTGAGCCAGTAGTGAGACAGCATAGTGATCTGGGACTTCTGAGTGACCAGAGCTGAGGACTTATTAGGATTTCTTATATCCGAAAAGGAATACTACAAGTAGTGAAACTCGATCAAGATTTTCCACAGACAGTCTATGAAATAAATTTTTCAGAGTTAAACATTCCCAAAATATCCCACGGATACTGGAAACAACAGTCTCTATCACATACACACAGCTACTTTAACTGCAGGTCTCGGGCACATGAGGAATCCTCAGAAATTACATAATCTGAGATTAAAATAATCTGCTAGTACAGCAAAAGATCTGAGTATTTCAACTTTATCCTGCCAAACTAAAGACATGCACCAAACTAATGTGATGTTCACTAAGTGCAGGGACATCTTTTTAGCCTCCAGTTCACAGTTTTCTAGTCTGCTGTCTACTAGCAAAGCTTCAAAAGCTTCCGCTCACTCATTAAGTGTTATTTACAAACTGAACTCAAATTGATCCTACAGAAAAATGTGTAAGTGTTCAGAAATCAAAAAAAAGACACCCTAACAATCAGCATAAACAATATCTGTTAACAAATAAAGACAGACTGCATTTTGCACAGTAGTTGAAAATCCTTAAGACTTTTGTTCCTCGTCCAGATACAGTATTTGGAATATCTTTGAAAGGTGACAGAGTAAGCACTGGGTAAGTTTTGTTTGTCTTGAAAAGAAAATCTATTAGTTGAGATTTTAAAAGAATCACTCTTTTCTGCATACCTTTACCTCTTACTTGTTAATAGTTAAGCCCTTCAACAAAGTCTATCACCATTATACCAAGGATTCCCAAATTTTCTAGTCAAATGGAGTTCTGCAAACTCTTTGTGTGGTGGGCTGACCCTGGCCAGATGCCAGGTGCCCACCAAAGCCACTCTATCACTCCCCCTCCTCAACTGGACAGGGGAGAGGAAAAAAAAAAAACCTAAATATAACAACAGGCTTGTTGGATTGAGATAAGGACAGGGAGATCACTCAGCATTTACTGTCACAGGCAAAACAGACTCGCCCACAGGAAAATGTAATTTATTACCCATTAACTCAGAGAGGAGTAACGAGAAATAAAACCAAATCTTAAAACACCTTCCCCCCGACACCTCCCTTCTTTCCCAGGCATAACTTTGACCCCGATTTCTCTCCCTCCTCCCGCCCAGCAGCACAGGGAGGGGGAAACAAGGAATGGGGGTTGTGGTCCATTCATCACTCTGTTGTTTTCTGCCGCTCCTTCCTCCTCAGGGGGAGGACTCCTCACACGATTCCCTTGCTCCAATGTGGAGTCCCCCTCACGGGAGAAAGTCCTCCATGACTTCTCTAGTGTGAGTCTTCCCACGGGTTCAGTTCACGAACCGCTCCAACATGGGTCTCCTCCATGGAATGCAGTCCTTCAGGAACCGACTGCTCCAGC